GTGTAACAGAGCATGTCCGTCCCACAATAAAATCGAAGGTTGTGACTTCAAGACTCGCTATCGGAAAAACTATGAAAAACAAAATAATATCAAGCCACCAAAATTTCGATTACCAAAAAGTGGGTTTCCTAGACAATTTTTTGATAAGGAGGAGTTCGGTTGCTAAACTTAATAACCTTTCCGAAATTTCATCATTTTAATGATTTGCTTTCTCAGATATCTAAATTTAAATTTTTAGTTTCGAAATTTATGGAATCACTCGGAAATCCATGGCAAATTCCCATTTCGATTAAAATAACACTTATAGGAAATTTTGTAAGGTATTCCCATGAAATTCTCTCCTATAAAAATGTGTGCGTGTTTGTTCGACTTTATGATTTCCAATTTTTAACAGAAATTTCGAGCGAAAAAAACAGAGGTAAAAAATGAAATGAAAATAAAACAATAACATGCAAGGCATAATAATGAGCAGAAGCCAAGGAAGTCCATGTCAGTGACTCTATCTCCACCAAGGATGAGGAGGAGATGATAGAGCAACATAATGATGTTGTTGTTGTTCTCCTCAAGGTGAAACATTTTTGAAATGTAACATCAAATATAAATTGCTAACATTCATATTCTAATATAAATTTATCACGTTTCTCATAGGGATACGATGATGACGACGATGCGGCGGATGCGGCGGCAGATGATGTTGATGATAAATGTGTTGGTGCTCCCAATATTCCAGTGGATGTTGCATTGAGATTGTTGCTTAGGGCCAGGCTGGCAGCAGATGCTGCTGATACTCCGGCGCCTACGGTAATGGGGTTATTATATAATTTAGATAAATTCATTTGCGGTATTGTTGGATTAGCTGGCGCCGCCGATGACGAGGAGGACGAGCCAGAATTGTTGACAGCCGTTGGCGTTCCCGCTGCCATTAGCAGGGAAGCCGTCATTAAATGTGAGCCCATGCCGGCAGCAGAACTGTTGGAATTCGTGGAGGAATTGGAGAGTTTCGATGATGAGTGATTCGAGGATGATGATGAAGAGTTCATTTTGTGGGGTACACTGTAGCAGGGCATGCTGCCACTGCTGTCGGGTGTGGCAAGTTGGGGAGGTGCCCCACCCGCCCCGTAATAATTTAAAATGTTCAAAGGTGGTGGTGGAGGATTGGCGGTGGCCATGGCATTGGGTGATCTTGGATTGTAGTAGGAGTTGTTGGAAGAAGAGGAGGCACGTTTTTGTATTAAATTGGCAGAGGAGGATGAGGAGGAGGGAGGGGGTTTATTGTTGCTGCCGCCATTGGAACGTATTTGTATGAAATTATCAAAATTATCCGAAGATGAGGTATTCGAGGCATTGGAGGGCCTTCGAATGTGTGAGGAGGCAGGCTGTCCAAGATTGTAGTTGCCCGGGGTGTTATAGGCCGTTGAGGGTGAGGGGGTTTTGTGATGATAGTTTCCAGGATATTTGTGACCATATAGGGATTGTTGTTGCTGCTGCTGCTGATGTATGGAGGAGGTGGAGGAAGAGGAATTGGATAGGGAAGTTTTATAGGATTTATAAATGTGAGCCATGTTATAGGAATTTTGGCCCACATGAGGAGGGCCGGTGGTATCCTGAGAATTGTAATAGGCTTTGGGTGTATCCACATCGTTTTCTTCATAGTCCCCATACTGATGGGGACTGATACGTTGCCTCAGATGTTTGTGGTAGGACTTATTGGCATTGGAGTAGTTAAAGTGCGTGAGACGTTGACTGGCCGGTTTGCTAATCAATTGGCATTGATCCTCCTCCAATAACTCCGAGGAGGAGGGACTGGCAAAGGGATAGAGGTCCTTGTGATAATCCAGATGATTGGTATCCAGCGGAGCTTTGTTATAATCAAAAGGATCGTTGGGATAGTGTGGCTCCTCTAATTCCTGTTGCAGCTGATCGTTGAGTGATTGATAAAATGCCACCTCGGATATGTTGTCGGTTTCCGAACGACTTAAATACCAATCCTCGGCCTCATCGAAACCCTCGGAATTGTTGATAAGGATTCTGACATTATTGGGTGTCAGCGACTCCTCGTAGCCATGGGAGGGGTATTCCGAGTCGTAGGCCAATAGCTGTTCCTTGTTGTGGGATATCCTTAGTAACTCCTCATTGTAAGATAATTCATCCTCATCGAGTTCCTCATCCCCGCGTTGAGGTGGCTGTATTAAGTCGAGGATCTCGGAGTTTTCCGAGGTCCTGTTATAGCGTCTGGGTGATTTGGGGGATTTATTTTCAAATAAATATTCACACATTTTGGGATGTTCATAGCGAAGCTGGTGTTGTTGTTGCTGTGGTGTCGGGGGTTGTTGTTGTTGTGGTTGTGATTGTGGCGTCATCGTTGAGTCCTTGGCCTCCTGATGATCAGTCTTTTTGTGATTCCTTTGCTCCCCATCTCCTCCGCCATGGCCATAGTTGCCACTAAACACCGAGGCATAATCGGAGCTGCTCAGCGAATCGGTTTGTTGTAGTGCTACGCCATTTTGTTGTGGTTGTTGTTGTAGATTTTCATAGTTATGGCGATTCAGTTTCTTGGGACTCTCTGTGGAGAGAGATCTCTTGTGTTGCCGGGATTTTTGGGGCCCCGAATCATTGGAAGATGTGGATACTTGGTGGAAGGCTCTCCTGAGTTTTTGGCCCTGCAGGCGGCCCACCGAGGCACCACCTCCTCCTACCCCTCCCTCTCTTATTCCCGAAGGTGATGTGCTTTTGTTATTGTCAAAATTTTGCTGCAAATAATTTTCCAGGTAATTGAGATTTTTCGAGAGATCCAATTCCGATTTGTAGGACTTGTAAAGGGTGGGGTTCAGGGACCTGGATTGTTGTTGTTGTTGCTGCAGACATTTGGTCTCATAGTTCCTGATGTTGTCCTTATCGCTTATAAAACGAAAACTCTCCACCTTGGCCATGGTCTTGAAGTTCAGCGAGCCATTGTTGTTTTCCATTGGCATTTTCCCAGCTTGGGCGCCATTGCTGTGAAACTGGCGACATTTGTCTTTTAGCTTCTGCAGGCCCTGCCGGGTTTTGGCTTGCAATTTGTGGAAATAATTGGATTTGGGCGGTATGGGCAATCCGGCCGCTGCAATGGTATTGGTGGAAGATGATGAGGAGGTCATGGAGGTGGCCATGTGGGCATGACTGGTTCTATCGGGATAGGATATTTTCAGTTTTTTCAAATGTGGACCATTCGGTTGATGTAGATTACTGCTGGAATTGGAGGTGTGTCTTCCGGATTTTTTCAAGGAGATTTGCTTGAAAACACTCGAACTGGATGAGGAGGTGGCCATTTTGTGGCGTTGCTTCCATTTTTTGGTGTTCTCGCCCAGGCTGGGTGGGAAATCTTGTCTCTCAAAATGTTTGATGGGCACACCATACAAATGATGATAGCTGGCCAATTGCGACTGGCTGACATAGGGTCTGGCTGCGACTGCGGCTGCAGTTGGTAACAAAGGCACCATTGGTTTTTTCGCCACCCGCCTACTGGCCGAGGAGGCACAGCGCAAACGCTTGTCCACCGTCAAGGTGAGCTGGGTCTCATCATCGTGGAATATGGAAAAGGGATTGGTGATGACGGTACTGTTGTTAAAATCGTTGGGTTTACAGCTGCCATTAACGCTGCTGTTATTAACATTTTCAAATATTAAGAGATTTGTGTTCTGATTCTCTTTCTTAGCAGCTAAATTTTGATTTGAGTTTTTGTTAATTTTCATTTTCTTAAAATTAGTTTTTGTTGTTGTGGTTGTTGTTGTTGTGGAATTATTGGCTACAACTACAATATTATTATTAATAAATTTAACATTAACATTTGTCTTACATAGATCCGTATCAGACTTGAATTTTCTTAGATTAGCTAAACACATAAAGGACGTTTTGTATGAATCGCCGTTATCCTGACCAGCCCCACGGGAACTGGTGTGATCCCGAAACGACAAGGATTGTTTGTGAAAACGATAAAACGGATTATTTATGGGCAGTTTTTGTAATAACATTTTCAATTCGGCATCTAACAGCGGTAGATCTGTTAAAGTCTTGTATTCTGTTAACCTAACAGTGGCCGCATCTAGCGTGCCCAGATTTTCGCTGAAGCCTGCACTACAACTCAAATGCAATAAATTCTGTTTATCCTTACAACTATTGTCCTCCAGAGGACTAACTAAATTATTTGAATCACTTTTAATGCTGTTATTTATAAGTTGTTGTTGTTGCTGATGTTGTTGTTGCGGGTCCACCAACTGTGGTTCCTCAACAATTTGTTTTTGATTTATTGCCGGCATTTTTATGCCATCAATCTTTTCCCTGAACTTACCCGGGTCCTGGGCGACAATGCCACAGGACATTGTTGTTGTTGCAAAAGCCAATGTGGTATTGGTATTGGTGCTGATACTGGTGTTCGGTATATGTGGTGTATTTGTTGTTTGTGTATTGGTTAGCGAGGAAATATGATTGTTATTGGTGGTTGTTGCTGTTGTTGTTGTTGTCGAGGTATATATAACAAATTGTTGGGTATTAATATCCGTCAAACTGTTGTCACCATCGTCGTCGTCGATATCGTCTCCGACGTCCACTTTGCTAATATCCTTTAAATCTGTCAAGTCATTGGTTGTCGTTGTTGTCACATTATTTGTTTGTTTTGCCCCAGTCATAACATTGTTGTTATTGTTGTTATTGCCCTGATTTATGGTCTCCTGCTCAATTCCCAACTCCTCAATTGTTTGACACTTTTGACCCCCCTCTTCACCTAATCTCCTTTCGTCCGCATTTTCTCCATTCGCTTTTTTGTCCTTCCCAACTTCATTGTCATCATCATGATTATTATGATTTTCATGTTCATTATTATTATTGGTAGTAGTCGTAGTTGTTGTTGTTGTTGTATTCGTAGTAGTAGTAATTGTTGTTGTATTATTGGTTTTTGTTGTATTATTATTAATTGCCTGCTAGACCCTAGTGGGTGGCTGTAATATCATTGCAGCCATTCGTACCTTCATTGCCTCGGGTGATCCTTGGCCCAATCCATGGTGATGTCCCGGATGATGATTATTGCCAACCATAGCTGCAGCAGCGGCGGCAGCCAATTGTTGTTGATGTTGTAACTGATTGGCATTTGCTGCCGCGGATTGTTGTAGTTGTTGCTGATGCTGTTGTTGCTGTTGCTGCTGCTGCTGCTGATGATGGAAACCAGCCGGGGTTGTATAAATCGAATCGCCAGGTGGTCCACCACTAGTGCTATCCGAACGTGATTTTAAATCGGCTTTTTCACTGAAACGAATAAAGCGGAGAGAAGAGGTGGATTAGAAAAAAATGGAATTAAAGGGAAGTCTGAAAAATACAGAATTTTAAGTTTAACGGCGTTTTTACTGAAACGAATGAAGCGGAGAGAAGGGGTGGATTAGAAAACAATGAATTAAAGGAAAAATAGGAAAATTACCGAATTTTAAGTTTAACGGAAATTATGAAAAGGGACATTTTTTTGAAGAAAATATTCCAAAAAATTGCATTTAGCATCTTGAAATTTGTTAAATTTTTGGAAATTTTTACTGAAGGGTACTAAAGTACAAAAAGACACCAAATTCCGAAAAATTGCATAAAACGGATGAATAAAACATGAGCTCTTAAAGATTTCAAAGTGTTTGATATACGCCCGAATTTTTTAAAAATTCAAACTAAAATTGTACTAAATTGAGAAGAAGAGAAAAATTGTACTAAGTGTACGAAAAGGTACTAAATGTACGAAAAGGTACTAAATGTACAAAAAGGTGTGTATACGCCAGAATTTTTCATAATTCAAACTAAATTGTACTAAATTGAGAAGAAGAAAAAATGGTACTAAATGTACGAAAAGGTACTAAATGAACAAAAAAAATCCCGAATTTTTCAAAATTCAAACAAAAATGATATTAAATTGAGAAAAAAAAAAACAATTAAAAAAGTTGTAAGTTCAGACGGGCCGAACTTCGAACGAATTTGGAAATTTTCAAAAAATAAAATCTTAAAAAAATGCTGTTAAAATTTTAAAAATACCGAATATAGCCTTTACTGTGGGGTTTATACGGGGCATTGTTTGTCATAAGACATTACCATATTCAAATGCGAAACTTGAAATAAAGGGTGAATCGGAGCTGTGCGAAAATCTGGACCAGCATGGACAATTTTCTGTCACAGGCTGTAGCATCCATCAGGAACTTCAAATACGACAACTCAAACAATTTCGGTGGATATTGTACCTAAACTCGTCAAAATACCGAATATAGGGAGGTACTGATATATGGGGCCTATACGAAGACCTGGACCTGCATAGACAATTTTCTGTCACAGACTGTAGTTCTCATTACGAACTCTAAATACGTAATTTGAAACAATTCCGGGCAATAATATCGCTAAAGTCATCAAAATACCGAATATCGGGAGGTACCGTTATATGGGGGCTATACCAAGACGTAGAACTACACAGACAATTTTCTGTCCTAGGCTGTAGTATCCGTTACGAACTTCAAATACCAAGTTTGAAACAATTCCATTGAATAACGGCGCTAAAATCATCAAAATACCGAATATCGGGAGGTGCCGATATATAGGGGCTATACCAAGACGTAGAACTGCACAGACAATTTTCTGTCACAGACTGTAGTATCCATTACGAACTTCAAATACGAAATTTGAAATAATTCCGGTGAATAATGTGGCTAAAATCATTAAAATACCGAATATCGGGAGGTGCCGATATATGGGAGCAATACCAAGACTTGGACCTGCACAGATAATTTCCGTTACGAACTTCGAATACCAAATTTGAAACAATTTTGCAAACATACTGTATCCTGGCTAAAACAGGCTGTACTATGTATCAAAATTCGTGCAAAAGGGTCCTAATGGTCCGAAAAGGTATCAACAGTGCAGTATCACGGTATTTAACGAACTGAAAGAATTAGAGGTCTTATTTTGTAAATTTGAGTCACGGTTTAGTGGTGAGATAACTGTAAAATTTCTCGACCTATGCTCTAGAAGTTCAGGAAACCATTGTTGCTTTTTAAAAGGCATGTTACCATGTTGGGCGCCACTGCTGTGAAACTGGCGGCATTTGACCTTCAGCTTTTGCAGACATACTGTATCCTGGTACATAGCGAATGTCGGCCGATTTTATATACCGTCTGATATCGTCTATCTCGTCTGAGCTTGATCGTAGTGACCCGTGCATAGAATGTATGGAGGTAGAATTGCTTAACGTGTGCATCGCGCCGTTAAATATATGTATTCCGCGTTATATGCCCAATATCACTTCACTTCTGGTAGGCAATAACCGTCTGGGGCCAGGGGATTTCAAAGCCCATCATGAATTATGGCACCCAGTCACAGGTAACAACCAGAGAGAGATGGCGCTGGCTGAGCAAATTGATAGCTCCACTTTTTGCACATTGAATGAGGATGCACCCACCATAATAAGGGAAGACTGAAACAGCTCACCGGATATGTCCATCGTCCCCCCTCAGGTCTGAAGAACGACGTAACATGGCAGTCTGTTATTTCTTTAGACTTAGACCAAATATTGTCGCAATTAGCAGACCACCCGACTTCACGGACTCCGAACGCCGAACTTTCCATGGGAAAATGGAAAGGCAATTGGCAAGAATTCACAAAATATACCAATCGCCGTTTCAGAGAACTGCTTAACCCGTCTGATGTTCAGGTAGAAAATAGGTGTTTCCGGGACATCATGAAAGCTGTAACCGCTCGCTATATACCTGCTGAAATAAGACCAAATTTCCCACCAGAGTCAGCGTAATTAGTAAATGAGCGAGATGAGCGAAAGAACTTACTGTGGTGGTAAACAGGTTGATCGGTGAGCATAAGCGCAAAAAGTGGCTAGAACATCTGAAGCATTGCAAAATCAGTATCGGCTCGAGTAAATTGTGGGCAACGGTAAAGTTGCATTCGAAGCCGGGAAAAAAAGGATGATCGGACATCTGTCTCATTTAAAGGCATAGAAGTGATAAATTCAAAGAGGTACCCGTGTTATTTCAACCGGCAATTAATAGAGCATTCCAAGAGTGATAGTCCTGAGAGAAGGATTCTACGCCGTGTACGAGCTCTCCCAGCCGGGGAGGTTAGGAGATACCACCACCACCAGCCGAGGAGATATCAAACTTGGAAGATGTTGCACAAGTCATCAGAAGCACAAAGTCATCAAAAGCGGTTGGTACTGACGTAATCTCAATGGTGATGTTGAAGCAGCTAGATGAACCAGAAGTCGTGTATCTCATCGAACTCCTCAACCTGTCGTTAGCCACCCTTGGAAATTGGGCAGGGCGGTCCCGCTACTGAAGCCAAACAAGGATGTCAGCAAAAGTAATTCATACAGGCCGATATCACTTTTGTCGCCAATAGCAGAGAGAGGCTTAGGGCATTACTCCTTCCCAGCATAAGAGGGTGTTTCCCAGTAGCTGATCATCAACACGGATTCCGGAAATTGGTCATAGGTCAACAAAAGCTTTACATACCATTTCCGTATATGTCAGCCGAGAACTCAGCCAGAACTGGCCGTGTGACAGAACAGTTAAAGTGGCACTTGCTCTATCAAAAGCTTTTGACGCAGTCAATCATGCCATACTGCTTAGGTAAATTGAGCTCAACGCCCTCCGACCAAGTTTGAAACGTTGGGAAGTTACTACATGTTTGGACGCCAGTCGTATGTGGAATTCAGGAACAAGAAGTCGAACATCCATAGAGTGAAACAAGAAGTTCTCCAAGGTGGGATGATATCTCCGGAACTGTATAACCTCTACATCTCTGATATTCCACGTCCTCCAGGCGGCATGGAAATAATAACATACGCAGATGATTGTACGCTCGTGGTGTTCGGATCCATAATTGATGACAATTGAATAGGTTAAACGCTTACCTAGTTGATCTGACCGACTTTTGCTCTGCTAGGAATTTGAACATATCCGCCACTACATCGACGGCCACACTTTCCACCACATGCTCTGCGGAGATGAGGCTATCTTTGAATGTACAGGTCGATGGTGCTGTAATTCCGACCACCAACTACCACAAGGCCTTAGGGGTCACATTAGAACCACAACAGGGTGCCTCTTATTTTATCCCGATAACTCCAAAATTTTTAACTCGTCTGTTCCTTCTTCTGATCCTATGACTCCAAAATTTTTGACTTTAACATCAGTCATGGTATCCTGCTGTTCCACCGAAATCCAATTTTTAGAAATCTATTTTTCTTTCATTCTAAGCTATTTTAATATTCTGCATAGCCATGAAACTTCCCCAGCAGATTAGTTCTGATTTCCCATGCTTATGTATATAATTTGAAAATGTTACGCTTTAGCGTATCTATCTTGGAGTTTTTATAACCTCATACTCACACACAACCTCACCCACACACACACATCGACTCATCTACTAAAATACCATAAAAAGTGCGAAACTATAAATGTTTAACGGAACGAACGGAAGGACATGGAAAAAAGCAGGGTCCTCAACAAACAATGTAAATGAAAAAGGATATCCTCCAACACACACCCTCACACACGCCAACTCGAAACACTTTGAACTCCAACACTTTTTAACAAAAGACCAACCAGGACCAGCATGACTTGTAGTTGCAGAATAACAGCAATAGAGTCCATAAATACATTGGAGACCAGCGAACGAACGCCAACAACACCACAAAGACCCAGGGAATTTGTGGTATAACTTGGAAAAAAAAAAAACAATATTTACGATATGTATCTATGGCCATGAGGCAGTAGGAGAAGAAAGAGGGGAAGGGGGATGGAGAACATCTAAGTTATGACCATTCTGTTTTTATTTCAGCACCGTTCAAGGCTAGGCAACTATGCGTTGGAAAACACACCTGTTGCTCTTTGGCTTAAAGTGGTCAACAAATAGCCAACTCCTAGGCCAACGCTTTGTCCGAGAAGGGGGGGGGAGGCCAGGGCATTTGAATGGATGGCGGATAGAAATGTTTGCAGTTCTATGGTCATGGAATTGCAAGTGTAGTAAATTTTATATTTTATTCACTTTGAGTGTGTGTCGTCGTTGTTGTTGGTGTTTCTTTTGATCTCTCTCTCTCTCTCCCTCCCTTTCCCTCTCGCTTTGTTTTTTATTTTTGATGTGGAAAAATATTGTATTCGTTTGCAAAACTTACCTGTCTTTATCTGATGATTTATAACCTCCACTACCTGAAAATATATAGAAATTGCAAAGAGAGAGGATGAGAATAAAAAATAGGTAACAGCAAATCGTATAAAATATGAAAAACTTGATATGTTTGTTAGTGTTGTTGTAGTAGTAACAACCAAAAAATATATGTTAGTTAAATGTTTTGCTGGAAATAGAATAAAATATGGTTTTCTATAACGCACAAACGAATATGGAGGGGAGCGTAAAGAGTTTAGGAAGAAAATCTTTGTAGTCCCCAAAAGAGAGGAGAACTTAGATGTGTTCTGTATAACACAGACTTTTGAGGAAGGACCAATAAAATGTGGCTTTTTAGAGAATATTTTTTTCAAAGAACCAAAAAAAAATTTGGATTTTTTAAAGAATATTTTTTTCAAAGGACCAAATAAACGTGGATTTTTTAAAGAATATTTTTTCAAAGGACCAAATAAACGTAGATTTTTTAAAGAATATTTTTTTCAAAGGACCAAATAAATGTGAATTCTTTAAACGAATATTTTTTCAAGGACTAAACAACCCTGGATTTTTAGAGAATATTTTTTTCAATGACTAAAGAAACCTGAATTTTTTAAAGAATAATTTTTTAAGGACCAAATAAACGTAGCTTGCTTTAAAGAAAAATTTTCCATAGGAACAAATAAACGTGGATTTTTTAAAGAATATTTTTTTCAAAGGACCAAATAAACGTGGATTTTTTAAAGAATATTTTTTTCAAAGGACCAAATAAATGTGAATTCTTTAAACGAATATTTTTCCAAGGAGTAAACAAACCTGGATTTTTAGAGGACTAAAGAAACCTGCATTTTTTAAAGAATAATTAATAATTTTAAGCACCAATAAACGAGGCTTTTTTAAAGAATATTTTTTCAAAGGACATAAAAACGAGAATTTTTAAAGAATATTTTTTCAAAGGACTAAATAAACGTGGATTTTTAAAGAACATTGTTTTTTAGGACTAAATAAAAGTCGGTTTTTTAAAGAAAATTTTTTTCAAAGGACCAAATAAACGTGGATTTTTTTAAGAATATTTTTTTCAAAGGACCAAATAAACGTAGATTTTTTAAAAAATGTTTTTTTCAAAGGACCATAAAAACGTGGATTTTTAAAGAATATGTTTTTCAAAGGACCATAAAAACGTGGATTTTTAAAGAATATGTTTTTCAAAGGACCAAATAAATTTGAATTTTTTAAAGAATATTTTTTCAAAGGACTAAACGAACGTGTTTTTTTTAAATTTTTAAGGACCAAAAAAACGTGGCTTCCTTTAAAGAATATTTTTTCAAGGACTAAATAAACGTGGAGTTTTTAAAGAATATTTTTTTCAAAGGATCAAGTAAACGTGGATCTTTTAAAGAATATTTATTTTAAAAGGACCAAATAAACGTGGATTTTTTAAAGAATATTTTTTCAAAGGACCAAATAAACGTGCCTTTTTCAAAGAATATTTTTTCAAAGGACCAAATAAACGTGGATTTTTGAAAGAATATTTTTTTCAAAGGACCAAATGAACGGGGATTTCTTAAAGAATATTTTTTTCAAGGATCAAATAAACGTGGATGTTAAAGAATATTTTTTTTTCAAGGACCAAATAAACGTGTATGTTAAAGAATATTTTTTTTTTCAAGGACCAAATAAACGTGGATTTTTTAAAGAATATTTTTTTCAAAGGACCAAATAAACGTCGGGTTTTTAAAGAATATTTTTTCAAAGTTATTTGGTCCTTTGAAAAAAATATTCTTTAAATGGATTTTTTTAAGGAATATTTTTTTCAAAGGACCAAATAAACGTGGATTTTTTAAAGAATATTTTTTTCAAAGGGCCAAATAAACGTGGATTTTTTAAAGAATATTTTTTTCAAAGGACCAAATAAACGTGGATTTTTTAAAGAATATTTTTTTCAAAGGACCAAATAAAGGTGGATTTTTTAAAGAATATTTTTTTCAAAGGACCAAAAAAACGTGGATTTTTTAAAGAATAATTTTTTCAAAGGACCAAATAAACGTGGATTTTTAAAGAATATTTTTTCAAACGACCAAATAAACGTGGATTTTTTAAAGAATATTTTTTTCAAAGGACCACATAAAAGTGGATTTTTTAGAGAATATTTTTTTTCAAAGGACCAAATAAACGTGGATTTTTTAAAGAATATTTTTTCAAACGACCAAATAAACGTGGATTTTTTAAAGAATATTTTTTTCAAAGGACCAAATAAACGTGGATTTTTAAAGAATATTTTTTTCAAAGGACCAAATAAACGTGGATTTTTTAAAGAATATTTTTTTCAAAGGACCACATAAAAGTGGATTTTTTAGAGAATATTTTTTTTCAAAGGACCACATAAACGTGGATTTTTTAAAAGAATATTTTTTTCAAAGGACCACATAAAAGTGGATTTTTTAGAGACTATTTTTTTTCAAAGGACCAAATAAACGTGGATTTTTTAAAGAATATTTTTTTCAAAGGACCAAATAAACGTGGATTTTTTAAAGAATATTTTTTTCAAAGGACCAAATAAACGTGGATTTTTTAAAGAATATTTTTTTCAAAGGACCAAATAAACGTGGATTTTTTTAAGAATATTTTTTCAGAGGACCAAATAAACGTGGAATTTTTAAAGAATATTTTTTTCAAAGGACCAAATAAACGTGGATTTTTTAAAGAATATTTTTTTCAAAGGACCAAATAAACGTGGATTTTTTAAAGAATATTTTTTTCAAAGGACCAAATAAACGTGGATTTTTTAAAGAATATTTTTTTTTCAAAGGACCAAATAAACCTGGATTTTTTAAAGAATATTTTTTTCAAGGGGTAGTTACTGATTTTCTGAATCATATTTTCTGTCCTCCGACTAACAAAATCGTTTGCTGGGAATACTTTTTTGAACTGTATCTCATTATGTTAAGTGGCCAGAAATTCACTTACGCAGGAGTTTCGGCTCGTTGTTCCACAGGAGTTCTTGGCTCGATGTCCCACAAACATTGGTATTGAATTAGAGGAAGTTATAAACCGTAGTACTAACTGGAATAATTTCCTAGTCATGCCAACAGCAAGCTGCCGAACCCGAACAATCTTAGACTACCTGGACAGTGATCCGCTGTTCTCGAACGATTATGCCAGGAGACCCCAACTCGAATCAGACAATCTGGACATTTGAACCCCAAAAACATACATCGTAAACCCTGATTATTTACCACTCATCAGCCCTACCTCATCAGCTCGATCTATTTATGAAAGTTCCCGGTTATCTTCAAATTGTCAAAATCTCCAACGCCGATCTTAACTCAAATACCAATATCGTAACCTAGGAATAGTCAGCATCCAGCGTCACTTCGAACAGAAACATCGTAATTTCTGATCTTCCTTACTAGTCACTTCCGATGATCCTCCACCAGTTCCCAATTTCCTTCAATCGTCGGTAATGTGAACATTATAGCCGGCTAATCATACTTTATCATCTACCCGAGTATCAATCCTGATTAACCCGATATCGGTACATCATTGTTCCCGAGTGTCCACGAATCGTTCACCCTCTAACTAACCACTCTAGAATCCTCGATTGCCTACGAGGCATGGTAAACGTCGAACTACCGATAATCAACTTAACAACTCTACTTTGAATTCTTGAGCATCTCCGAAGCCAATTCGCCATTTTATATTCATCTTATCGCATTTGAACACTAGTGGATAGTAATCCCTGAAAATGGGAGAAATTTACTTTTCTTTTTTAGTAAGGTTTAGTGGGTCCTTATGAAGACCCTGGCTATAGCTAAACTTACTTCAGCCGACGAGAAAACCATGTTAAAAATATTCTAGCTTAGCATTGATGAAAAAAGGCCTTAGACTTTGTGGAAATAGAACAGAAGGTATATATTTTAGCAAGCGACATCTACATTTTAAGTATGTGATTTACATTTCTTCATCACTAGATGGCGTAAGTCCTTCTTTGATTAAAAGCCCCCACACTTATAGTTGTGCTGAAAGAGTCTGATGAAAATGGGCCTCAACACTCATGATTATTTTTGATGAAAAATCATCTTCTTCTTGGTGGTGATTAAGGATGGCTTGAGCGTATGTTAAACGCGATTGGCAATCAGCACCTTACATTTGATGCAAGATTTGGACTTTGTAATAAAACATCTTTAGATCTTGTACCAAAATTCGGTGTAAAGACCTTCGACTGATACCCATTTGCGTGGCACGCCCCCTGAACGATGTCGACAATATTCTCTGCAGAACGGATACTCCGGGATCTGCCAAGCCTGGCAGAATATTTGTTTTACCAGTCCCTTCGAGGTGAACGGCTAAACGTCACAAGGTTTCACCAGTAGACGTTGGACGGCCAGGAAATCTGCGACGAAATTCACCGACCGATTATTGATCAAATAAATAGTCACTAATATTCCGCATTCTGTAACATTGTTTATTAAAGTGTATTTCGCACGTGTTTACTACAACAATGTCAAAACAGAACTTACATTAGATGCTAATCGTGAAATTTATAGAATTTTCTGATAGGAGGATTATTTTTGAGCCGCCTTGTATTTTGACGAACTCCATCTATACGTGCTGTTTTAAAATTTCAGAACTAATTTGACTTCTCCTCATGACCAGATGGAGTAGTCACATTTTTGGAATTTTCTTCTTCAGAAAACCAAGACAATTGTGTTAGATATAAAATAAGTATATCTTGTGTTATTAGCTAAGCTTTAATATTTAAATAGTTTTTAGTATATATTCTGATGAGCGCCATCTATACATTGTGTTTCAATGTCACAATTAATTTGACATGTTGTCATGACTAGATGGAGGTGTTAAATTTTTTGATATGTCTTCTTTGAAATATTAAATCATTTTGACCAAACTTTTTATACCATTGCAAATATTGAATATCCTGCTACCAACAACAAATATAAGAATATCCTTTTCATATAGAAGTATATTTGTGTGCGTGTTTTTTTGTATGTCAGTTTTGAAAGCAATTTCAACTCTGTGCCACAATTGA